TGAATGTGAGTATAGGACTGCGGGTTTCTGGTTGCCTGTGGGATTGTGATAACTTCTTTAGGGTTTGCTTTCCTCATTTATAAATATGATAATAACTCCACGTTTCTTATTACCCTGAAGTTTTGCAGCAAAGGACAAAAATATAAAACATGATAAAAACATGATTTTTACATTAAAGAAACTCAGAATTATTAGGGACAAAAATCCAAAATCAGCCTAAAATCTTAAAATATGAAGATGAGTTTTAAAACAATTTCTTATTATGGTGTGGCCTGTCTTGGCTCTCACATTAGTTAGTCATTCATTTCCTTTTGCCAGTTGGAAGACAGCTGTATTAAAATTCAGGGAGCCTTGGACTGTGGAATTGGCTTTCCCCATCCTGAAGCACTGGTCTAGGATATGCATGGCCTGTGATGCCCACCTCTGAACAAGGATGCTTTCCCTCAGATGGTCCCAAAGTTGGTTCATGGCAGCAGTTTGTCCCTGAGCCAGGCACAGAACCCAACAGTTCCTGTCCCTTAATTTAGTTTTGTTTCCATCAGGCCTCATGGCTTCTGTGATGTCATGAAGCAGATGTCTTCCATCTCTGATACTGCTTTCTCTAAGGAATTGACCACCTTGATTCCACCTAAATGGGGCTGGAATAAAGAGAAGAGCATTTCTCTGCAGGCATTGTGTTTGATGGAAGATTTCAGAGTCACACATACCTGAGTGGCAATACCAACTCAACCACTCACCTCCTAGCTTTGTGTTTTTCCAGTAAGTCACTTAACTTTTCTACATCTGTTTTATTTTTTCTCCTATAAAGAAAACATAAGCTGACTGCAGTTATTTTGAGGAATTATGATTACCGATATTAAAAGGTGAGTTAGGCGTAGAGGGGTTGAATCTCACACTTTGAGAATCAAAACCCTGGGGGAGGTAGTGTTCTGTTGGTATAATGGACAGAAGGGAAAAAGGATAGGAAGTATACCTATTTTGTTACTGCATACCTTTTTTACATCTTAAAGTTTTTGAATCATGAGGATATACTGCTTGTTCAAGATATTAAAGTTTTTTTTTTAATTTTTTTTTTTCCTGAGGAAGATCAGCCCTGAGCTAACATCTGACGCCAATCCTCTTTTTGCTGAGGAAGATTGGCCCCGGGCTAACATCCGTGCCCATCTTCCTCTACTTTATATGGGATGTGCCATAGCATGGCTTGACAAGTGGTGCTTTGGTGTGCACCCAGGATCCGAACCTGCGAACCCTCGGGCCACCAGAGGGGAGCACGTGCACTTAACCGCTGCACCACCGGGCTGGCCCCTAAAGTTTTTAAATAGAAATAAAATACAGTAATTGAGAAGTACTAATTAAATGATATTTAGAAGAAAATTTCCTTGGGCTAGAAAAAAGACATGAGACTATCTAAACATATCCTGCTGAAGTCCCTGAATTTTAAGGACAGAAAGAAACTCTTGCCAAATGCCGGGGCAGAAGCAATTACTGTGGTAGGCAGAATTACGGCCCTCCAAAGATGTCTCCATCCTAATTCCAGGAATCTGTGAATATGTTACATGGCAAGGAGCAATTAAATTGCAGATAGAATTAAGGTTGTTGACCAGCTGACCTTAGGACAAGATTATCCTGGATTGTCCAGATGAGCCCAATATAATTAAAAGGGTCCTTAAAGGTGAAAGAGGGAGGCAGAAGAGTGTCAGAATGATGCAATTTGAGAAAGATTCAACTAGCTATTGCTGTCTTTGAAGTTGGAAAGGGGCCATGCTAAGGAATGTGGGCCGTCTCTAGAAGCTGAAAAAGGCTAGGAAATGGATTCTCCGATAGAGCCTCCAGAAGAGAACACAGCCCCGTCAACACCTTGATTTTAGCCCAGTGAGACCTATTTCAGACTTCTGGACTCCAGTTGATAAATTTGTGTTGTTTTAAGCCGCTAAGTTTTTGATAATTTGTTACAGCAGCAACAGGAAATGAATACACCTACATAAGCTAACAGAATCAGACTAGCATTGGATTCCTCTTCTAGAAAACCAGAAGCCAGAAAACAAGGAAGTGATATCTATGGATTTGAGAAAAGCTGTGATCCAAGAATGTTCTACCAACCAAAAATATAATTTGTGAACGTCTAAGAACCTTTTTTGGACATATAAGGATTCAGAGAATACCAGCTATATACCATTTATTGAGATAAACATAAATACTCAAGAAAATGGTCTAACCAAATAGCATTTAAAATAAAACGGTTACGGGCCAGCCCGGTGGCGCAAGCAGTTAAGTGTGCGTGCTCCACTGCAGTGGCCCAGGGTTCACCGGTTCAGATCCCGGGTGTGCACCGACGCACCGCTTGTTAAGCCATGCTGTGGCGGTGCCCCATATGAAGTGGAGGAAGATGGGCAGGGATGTTAGCCCAGGGCCAGTCTTCCTCAGCAGAAAAGAGGAGGATTGGCAGATGTTAGCTCAGGGCTGATCCTCCTCACAAAATAAATAAATAAATGAAATAAAACAGTTACCTCAAGACAGGGGAAAACAATGAAAAGAAACAGTGGCCAGCAATGAATGTTACTCCGAGTAATCATGAGTGGGTCTGGCAGTAAGTAATGTAAGCATCAAATAAACGCAATAAGAGCGACACTAAAAGCTCTGCACTAAGAGTTCTCAACAGGTTCGTGGAATGGAGGAAATGTCCAAGAAGAAGCTGTGAAGGGAGGGACAGAGACAGCAAGGGTGGCCTCTTCCTGGAGGAGAGTGGCAGAGAAAATTAGTGGTGAGAAAGTAGAATAGTGCTCTCATTTTGCCAAAATAATGATTAAGAATGGGCAGATAACCACTACCCTAAGCACAGCAGGAAGTTCCAATTTAGCAAGAGAAAAGGGGATTGATCAGCCAACTAATGAAAGGAAAAGACCAAGATAACATAAATAGTACACGCCATGTAAAATGAAAGCAGTAAAGTTGAATTATTACACTAAATAAAAATGTGAACTTCCCTATAGAAAAGAAAAATTCAAATTTTGAGTTTTAAAAAATCAGCTGTATGGGGCAGCCCCGGCGGCCTGGTGGTTAAGTTCAGGGCTCTCCGCTTCAGCAGCCTGGGTTTGGGGTTGGTTCCTGTGCACGGACCTACACTGCTCTGTTAGCAGCCATGCTGTGCTGGCAGCCCACATACTCAAAAATAGAGGAAGATTGGCACAGATGTTAGCTCAGGGTGAAATCTTCCTCAGCAAAAAAAAAAAAAAAAAAGCTGTATGTTTTTTGTAAGAAATAACTAAAATGACGGGTTGAAAATAAATGGATGGGCAAAAACATACCAGGTAACCAAAGATAAATCATTAATGTTAGTATCACACGGTATGGAAATAAAATACCAAAAGGATTACACTAGGCCAGAGTTATCAAACTTTTTATCTAAAGGGCCAGACAGTAAATATAGGCTTCATGTGGCCACAGTCTTTGTTGCAGCAACTCAGCTCTGCTGTTGTAGGACAAAAGCAGTTGTAGACTATATGTAAATAAATGAGCACTGCTGTGTTCCCATAAAACTTTATTTATAAAACAGGCAGCAGGCCAGATTTGGTTTGGTGACCCCTACACTTAACCGAGTGGGATATTATATCATAATAAAAGGTATGATTCATAAATAGGGGTTAAGTAATATGTCATTAAAGGCCAAACAACATAAAGAGTGAAAATCTCTGGAAATTCAAGATCTTGGTTAAAAAAATTCAATTTTAGGAAATTCTCATCCAGTATACCAAATTAATATAAGAACATGGTGAATTTTATCATTATAATCTACTGGCTTAAACAGAATCTTGTATCCAGAAATGTACAATAGATATTCTTTTTCAATGTTATGGAGCATATACAAAAATCAATCCTGTACTTAGTCACAAAGAAAAATGTCAAATTCAAAAAAGTAGGTATTTTCAGGCCACGTTTACCTATCATAATAAAATAAAATTTGAAGTTATATCATTTAGGATGCTTTTGGCTGCAAGTTTACAAAATACCCAACTAAAAGTAACTTTAGCAATAAAGGTTTATTTTTCTTACATAACAAGGCATCAGAGAGACAGTTCCAGAATTGGCCTTCTGGCTCAGTGTTCTGGGTCAGCTTCTCTGAGATCCTCTGGTTTCTCCTTTTAGTTCCAAGATGGCTGCAGCAGCTCCAGGTGTCATGTTCTCATAGGAAAATGTTTAAAAGCAGGAAATGATAGGGAAGGAGTCTTCCAAATATATCTTTCTTCTGGATGAGGAAAGTCTTTCCCAGAAGCCCCCGCAGATCCCTAGAACATACTGGCCATACACTGGAACATATGGGCCATCCTGAGCTGCAAAAGAGGCTGAAATATTTGCATGTGACATCTTCAGATTCTAAGGCAAAACACAGATGCACCAATAGGAAGGGGAATTGGGTATGGCTGCTAGGTAGGCAACCAACCCCTTCTGTCTGTGACAGAAGTTGTAAAAGATAACCCAAAACAATTAAACAACATGGAAAATTAAGAAACCCTCTCGTAAATTTAGTTTACTCTTGGATCTTGGATAAAAACTGAGACTGTAACAACCACTTTCTATTTCATCATTTTCTATTCATTCATTCTTTCATCATCTGGGTGTTTGGTATTCTCTCGCTTCTTGAATAGTACATTTAGTATATTTGAGTATAATCTTTCAGGTTTTCATGTCTGCATGCATTTAATGGCCATAGAAATTCCTGAGTAGCTTTAGCCACAACCCACATCTCTTGGCATGTAAAACTCGCATTGTCATTCTTTTCAATACCATTCATGGTAACTGCATGATTTATTTCCTTGTTAACCCAAGAGTAAATTTGGCTTGTTTCTTTTTAATTTCCAAGAAAATTAAAACTTTTGGCTATTGTTAAAATTATTACACTGTGGCTAGAAAATATGATTCTAGAATGTGTTAGAGACAAAATTTTTTCCAACCTTTCCTTGTCTCTTTGACAAACATGGTCTAAACATTTTTCATCCATAAAATTTTTCTTCAATATGAATATTATGACTCAGGATTAAGGAGAGCTCTGAAGGAAGGCATTCTCACTTACATTACATTGTCAAGTCTTTCTCCAAGACAGGAGTAAGTTTTGATTAGCCTAAGCTAATGGGCTCTTCCCATTACTTCCATTCATATGGTTGCTTGCTAACATAAACTCTCTGATGATTAATAAGGGGTAAGTGCTGATGGAAGGCTTTTCTACATTTATTATATCCACTTGTGCTTCTCTATTATGCATCTTCTGATGTTGAATAGTTGAATCATGATTTAAAGTCCTCCCACATTCCTTGTATTTATAAGGCTTTTCCTCAGTATGAATTACCTGATGTTGAATCAGCTGTGAGCAGTGACTAAAGGCCTTCCCACATTCCTTACATTCATATGGTTTCTCACCTGTATGAATTCTATAATGTACAGTAAGATGTGAGACGCGTTTGAACGCCCTACCGCATACCTTACATTGGTAGGGTTTCTCTCCAGTGTGGATTCTCTGATGTTGCTTAAGTTGTGAGCTCACCCTAAAGGTCTTCCCACATGCCTTACATTCATAGGGTTTCTCACCCGTATGAATTCTCTGATGTCGAATAAGAGTTGAGCCTTGATTAAAGGCCTTCCCACATTCCTTACATTCATAGAGTTTCTTGCCAGTATGAATAGTCTGATGTTGAATCAACTGAGACCGATGACTAAAGGTCTTCCCACATTCCTTGCATGCATAGGGTTTTTCCCCAGTATGAATTCTATAATGTACTTTAAGATGTGAGATCCGATTGAAGGCCTTGCCACATTCCTTACATTGATAGGGTTTCTCACCAGTATGAATTCGTTGATGTTCAATCAACTGTGAGCTTCGACTAAAGGCCTTTGCACAGTCCTTACATTCATAAGGTTTCTCACCAGTATGAACTCTCTGATGTTGTATGAAATTTGAACCAGAATTGAAGGCCTTTCCACATTCCTTACATTCATAGGGTTTCTTGCCAGAATGAATATTCTCATGTTGAATTAGTCGTGAGCCATATTTAAAGGCCTTCCCACATTCCTTACATTTATAGGGTTTCTCATTACTATGAATTCCTTGATGATTAAGAAGGAAGTCCTCTTGCCAGAAGTCTTTTCTACATTCATTATACCCATAGGGTTTTTCTCCAGTGTGAATTTTCTGATAAAAAGTAAGGGATGCTTGCTGGTCGAAAGTGGACATTTCTTCATGACTGATTATCATTTGACTCAAATGTACATCTGGACTTCCCTGTTGTCTGTCAAGCTGGCTTCTGCATTGCCAATCATCTTGGAAGCTCGAGCACTCAAGACCATAACCTGTAAGGCTTTCCGTTATCTCCCACCGGGGGGATTGTCCTTCATAAATGTGCTGCTTTGGAGATAATTCCTTAGTATCATACCAGGACTCCAATACTGAAAAAGAACAAAAAAGCAAGTATGTGTTTGTTTTTTCTTTTTGCAGAAAAAGGAACTTCTATAGTAAAAACTAGAAAGTCTAGACTCAAGATAATACCTATAAGCTCTTGAATGTGGCTAAGCAATTAGGAAATGGACAAGTAGAACAGAGAAAGAGGAAATACCATAAATTGAGATGAAGTAATCAGAGAGAGAGACTATAAGAGTAGTTCTAAAATGTTAGTGTGGATCAGAATCATCTCTGAACCACGTTTTTACAAAATGAATGTTTCTATGAAACCCTAGAAAAGACAAATATAATCTAGAGTGACAGAAAGCAAATCGTTGGTTACCTGGGCCTGAGCTATGAGCAACTGTGTGGGAAGGAGCACAAGAGAACTTTTCAGGGTGATGAAAATGTTCTTTATCTTGTCTGTAGTGGTGGTTATGCAGGTGTATACATTTGTTAATACTCATCAAAATATTATACTTAACATGCATACATTTTCTTGAGTATAGATTATACCTCAATAAAGTGGATTTTAATTTTGTTTATTTATTTATTTTTCCCCCAAAGCCCCAGTAGATAGTTGTATGTCATAGCTGCACATCCTTCTAGTTGCTGTATGTGGGACGCGGCCTCAGCATGGCCGGACAAGCAGTGCGTCGGTGCGCGCCCGGGATCCAAACCCTGGCTGCCAGCAGCAGAGCGCATGCACTTAACCACTAAGCCACGGGGCCGGCCCATAAAGTGGATTTTAAAAAATGAAGGAGGGGCCGGCCCGGTGGGACAGCAGTTAAGTTTACGCATTCTGCTTCGGCAGCCCGGGGTTCACCAGTTTGGATCCTGGGCGCGGACCTACTCGCTGCTCATCAAGCCATGCTGAGGCAGCGTCCCACATAGAAGAGCTACAACTCTACAACTATGATACACAACTATGTACTGGGGCTTTGGGGAGAAAAAAGAGAAAAGAGAAAGATTGACAACAGATGTTAGCTCAGGGCCAATCTTCCTCAAAAAAAACCAAAAGTTATTTACAAAAAAAAAAATGATAGAGAGAGGTGGCTGGATCCTCGTCTGGTCAGAGGAACACAATGGTGCATCTGCTTGCCGGGGGATGTGGTGGCACAGGGGGCTATTCTCACATGCCCACTGGAAGTTATGGACATGTGATATGCCACATGTAGCTGTGGTCTTCTGCTGTGATGCTGTCTATCTCTGAGGTTTAGCTGAACATCATGGCTAGAGCTAGTGTCAACTGGACCAGTCTCTCCTGCACTTTTCCACTGCCTAAAGGTGACCTAGGAAAAAGAAGAGCCTTGTTCCTTGTTTAAGAGGATCAGGCCCCAATTTAATGGGGGTGGCCTCTTCCAGAATAACATTCTTTGCTGCTTATTCAAACTGCAAGGAAAAGCTGAATGGTGTATTTGATCCTGATTCTGCCCCATACATGGTTTTGGCTGCAGTGGCCTGTTTTACTGCAATCACGGCAACCAATCCTATTTGGCTAATAAAGAATTGGTTACAGCTTGATGCAGGGAACCATGGAGAAAAGCAATTGGGTGCTTTTGAGTGTGTTCATAAAGTGTATTAGACAGATGGCCCAAGAGGACTTTATAGGAGCATGTCTGCTTCATATGCTTCATGTGGCATATCAGGGACTGTTATTCATTTGGTTATTTGTGAAAGTATTAAGCAGAAACTACTGGAATGAAAGATTCCTTCAACAATGGAAGGTGATGCGGAGTCTGTGAAAGAAGTGTCAGATTTTGTGGGCACGATGCTGCTGTCACCTCATAAACTTGTGCCACAACCACAGTGTATCCACATGAAGTTGTAACAACAAGACTATGTGAAGAGGGCACAAAGTACAGATATTTTTTCAGATGCCATGTTTGGTTGTTCAAGAGGAAGGTTATGGGTCTCTTTATTATGGTCTAACAACTCGGGTGAGACAGATTCCAAACAGCCATCGTGATGGCCACCTATGAACTGGTCGATCTACTCAACGGTTAGCAACATCTGGCTGCCATCCTGTAAAGGACAACCAAAAGATTGCAGTGGACCATGGAATATTAAAGCCAGCCTAGTGGACAGAAGAAAATTAGGTTGGGAACACGTAACTATGCTCAAATGGAAGTCTGGTTTTAGGAATTAAAGTAATCACACATTACTTGGTCTTTTTGGCAAAGTGAAAAAAACCTCAGCTGCCTCTAAGGACATGCCATTAAAAGCACTCCTCACTCCAAACTGCCACTTTTTCTATCACAGACACTTGGCACAGCTGAGTTTTGTTGATTTATGGCAGTCAGAGTATAGTATTGTTTATTCCATGAGCACTTCTCCACTCATCTAAATTAAGATAGTACTGACAGTCATAATTTTCTATCTTCTGGCTTCTGTTCAACTCTCTGTAAAGTTGCAAAACAGCAACAAAAATAGTGAGATCATCTGTATTATTTTCACATTTTCCTGATAGGACCTGACAGAGTATTTTAAAAGTTAATTATATAGCATTAGTAGTCACTGTTTTTGGACAACCAATGAAATAATGTCTAAAAATCTTATGTATAGTTTTAGCATTAAAATGTTTGGTTTCCTCATATGGAACCTCAAGGGATCTCAAATGGCCAAAACAATCTTGAAAAGGAAGAACAAAGTTGGAGGTCTCACATTTCCTGATAGCAAAACATATTACAAAGCTACAGTAATCAAAAGAGTGTGGTACTGGCATATAGGCAGACATATAGACCAATGGAACAGAATAAAGAACCAGGAAATAAACCCTTATGCATATGGTCAAATGATCTTCGACAAGGGTGCCAAGACCACACAATGAGGATAGAACAGTCTCTTCAACAAATGGTGCTGAGGAAATTGGATATCCACATGCAAAAGAATGAAGCAGGACCCTTACCTTATACCATATACAAAAATTAACTCAAAATGGATTAAAGACCTGAACGTAAGACCTAAAACTATAACGCTCCTAGAAGAAAACAGGGGAAACCTTCATGACGTAGCATTTGGCAATGATTTCTTGGATATGGCACCAAAAGCAAAAATAGGACAAATGGGACTACATCAAACTTAAAAACTTCTGTGCATCAAAGGAAATGATAGAGTGAAAAGGCAACCTACAGAATGGGAGAAGATATTTGCAAATCATATATCTGGTAAGAGGTTAATATCCAGAATATATAAAGAACTCCTAAAAGTCAACAACAAAAAAATAACCCAAATAAAAAATGAGCACGGGACTTGAATAGACATTTCTTTAAAGAAGATATACAAATGGACAACAAGCATATGAAGAGATGCTCAACGTCACTGATCATTAGAGAAATGTGAATCAAAACTAAGAGATATTGCCTCACAGTTATTATGATGGCCACTATGGAAAAAAACAAAACAAAACAGAAAATAACAAGTGTTAACAAGGATGTGGAGAAATTGGAACCCTTGTGCACTGCTGGTGGGAATGTAAAATGGTGCAGTTGCTACGGAAAACAGTATGGTGGCTACTAAAAAAATTAAAAATAGAATTACCATATGATCCAGAAATTCTACTTCTGGGTATATATCCAAAAGAATTGAAAGCATAATCTGAAAGAGATATCTGCACACCCATGTTCACTGCAACATTATTCACAATAGCCAAGAGGTGGAAGCAACCCAAATGTCCATCAACAGATGAATGGATAAAAAAATCATGGCATATACATACAGCCTGAAAATGGAAGGAAATCCTGTCACATACTACAATATGGATGAACCTTAAGGAGATCATGCTGGGCCGGCCTGGTGGCTTAGCGGTTAAGTGCGCGCGCTCCGCTACTGGTGGCCCGGGTTCGGATCCCAGGCGCGCACTGATGCACCGCTTCTCCGGCCATGCTGAGGCCGCGTCCCACATACAGCAACTAGAAGGATGTGCAACTATGACATACAACTGTCTAGTGGGGCTTTGGGGAAGAAAAACAGGAGGAGGATGGGCAATAGATGTTAGCTCAGAGCCGGTCTTCCTCAGCAAAAAGAGGAGGATTAGCAAGGATGTTAGCTCAGGGCTGATCTCCCTCACAAAAAAAAAAAAAAGGACATCATGCTAAGTGAAAGAAGCCAGACACAGAAGACCACATATTATATGATTCTGTTTATGTGAAATATCCACAATAAGCAAATCCATAGAGACAGAAAGCAGATTAGTGGTTGCCAGGAGCTGGGGGTAGGGGGAAATAAGGAATGACGGCTTAATGGGTATAGGGTTTCCTATTGGGGTATGTCTAGGAAAAACACACTTCTGAACACCACTCTACTCTCCATTCTTTACTTCTGACCCTTTTGGTCACCAAATATGTGTGGGTTTTTCCCTCACACCAAGCAATTGTCCAACTCTCTGGCAGATACTGACTGGGCGACCTACAAATTTAAGTCAATTCTGACACTATCTTTCTGCAGATAGTGTCAGATCCCACAGATTAAGGGCTCAGTCCCACAAGCCCTACCTGCCCCATAAATTGGAGGTTCCCATGACCCCCTCCTGGGGTTCAATCATTTGCTAGAATGGCTCACAGAATTCAAGAAAAAAGTGTACTTATTAGATTACCAGTTTATTACAAAGGATCTAACTCAGGAACAGCCAGATGGAAGAGATGTACAGGGCAAGATATGGGGAAAGGATGTCAAGCTTCCATGTGGTCTGGGCACCACCCTCCCAGCACCTCCATGTGTTCACCAACCTGGAGGCTCTCCAAACCCCATACTTTAGGGATTTTTATGGAAGTTTCATAATGTAGGCATGATTGATTAAATCATTGGCCATTAGTGATTAACTCGACCTCCAGCCCCTCTCCCCTCCCTGGAGGTTTTGGGGTAGGGGCTCAAAGATCCAACGCTCCAATCATATAATTGGTTCCCCTCTCAACTAGCCCACATCTTGAAGCTATCGAGGAGACCCCAGCCACTAGTCATCTCATTAGTATATAAGGAGACACTTAGGACTTCAGAGATTCCAGGGGTTTTTAAGAGCTGTGTGCCAGAAAACAGGGATGAAGACCAAATATATATTTCTTGTTATAAATCACAATATCACAAGTTGATAAAAATATTCTGAAACTAGATAAGGGTGACAGTTGTGCAACCCTGTAAGTGTAATAAATGCCAATGAACTATACACTTTAGAAAGGTGAATTTTGTTATATATATTTTACCATAACTTAAAAAAAAATTAAAAAAGAACATTTTCCAGAAATAATATAAATTACTACAACTGGCTCAAGAAATGCAACACTTGAATGTTTAGTGTCAGTATTCAGGGCCGGCCCCATGGCTTAGCGGTTGAGTGCGCGCACTCCGCTACTGGCAGCCCGGGTTCGGATCCCGGGCGTGTGCTGATGCACCGCTTCTCCAGCCATGCTGAGGCCGCGTCCCACATGCAGCAACTAGAAGGATGTGCAACTACGGCATGCAGCTGTCCGCTGGGGCTTTGGGGGGAAAAAAAAGGGAGGAGGATTGGCAATGGATGTTAGCTCACAGCCAGTCTTCCTCAGTGAGAAGAGGAGGATTGGCACGGATGTTAGCTCAGGGCCCGTCTTCCTCACAAAACTAAATAAATAGAGTCAGTATTCAGTATTAGGAGTTCAGTATTAGGAAATTACTCATATAATCCAGAGTTTATAGACTGAAAGAAAAAAAAACTTAATAAAATATGAAAAGGTGGATGCTTTTTCTTTTTTTTCCTTTGGTGAAGAAGATTTTCCCTGAGCTAACATCTGTGCCAATCTTCCTCTATTTTGTATGTGGGACGCCACCACAGCATGGCTTGATGAGCGGGTGTATAGGTCCATGCCGAGATCCAAACATGTGAACCCTGGGCCACCAAAGCAGAGTGCGTGAACTTAATCACTACAGCACCAGGCCGGCCCTGGTGGATGCTTTTTTAACCTAATAAAACATCCCTATCTCATTCCTAAACCTGATATTATGCTTAATGAGAAGACATTAAAAATATTCCTATAGGTCAAGAACAAGATTAATATGTAAACTACCCCCATTAACGTTGTTCTGGGAGTGCTACATAACCAGCATCATAATCAGACAAGAGAAAAAAACCTAAGAGGTATAAAAATACAGAAACATTTTCACTATTTGCAGATGATATAATTGAATACTTGGAGTGCTCAAGAGAATTACATGAAAAACTGTCATAAACAGTGAGAAAATTCAGTAAGTTGGGGTAGCTAAAAACTTAATCTGAAGATATAAATGGCTTTTGTCATACATAAAAAATAACAAGTTGGAGTATACTTGGATGAATACCATATTATATTAGTCCATATTATGGATTATGCCATTTCCAATAGCAGCAATAAATATAAAATACTAAGAATAAATGTAGTAAGAAATGTACAACATTTATATAAAGAAAATGTTAAAACCTTCATCAGGGATGGACATCAATGAAGGGAAAAGTGTATTATGTTCTTTAATAGAGAAGACTCCACATAATAAAGAAATCAGTTTTCTCCCAAATTAATCCATAAATTTACCATGATCTCAGTAAGAAAAATTATATGATTTTTTTTTGAAACCAGACATTCTGATTCTAAAGTTCAGCTGGAAAAATAAATGAGACTAGCCAAGAAAATTCTGAACATAAGAATGAAGAGGGACTAATTCTACCAGATATTTAAAACATATTTAAACCTTCAATAATTAGAACAGTATGGGATTGACACATGGTTAGACAGAGAGATTAATGGGATAGAACAAAAAGTCCAAAAACAGATCCAAATACAGAGGTACTATAGCAGATGATAAAGGTGGCTCTACAGATAGTGGTGAAAAGATAAAATAGTTAATAAATGCTGTTTGAATAACTGCATAACAATCTGGAAACTAATGTGAAATCACATCTTAGACTAGGATAAATTCCATATGGATCATAAATAACATCATAAATAAACTAGAAAAAACCCTAGGAGACTCATTTTATAACCTCAGAGGGGGAAGTCCTCTTTAATTGTGACAGAAACCCACACATCTAAGGAGTAAAAAAATTGAGCACCTCAAACAAACAAATATGTTCTGTCAAAACTCAAATGACAAAACAAAAGCAAAAATCTACTCTCTGACATTACAGGTGTGGTGGGGAGAATAGCAGCCCCCCAGAGCTGCCCACATCCTAATCCCCAGAACCGTATCTTAGGTTACACGGCAGTACACGCCTTCCCCCCCACCCCGGATGCTCACTCCACACCTGACCTCACTCACTGCCCGGGGCCAACGACCACTTCAGTGTGGGTGAATCTCCCACATCTGTAACGCTTAGTTCTGAGCTCCCCATCTGAAATTCTCTTACAGGACATCGTACTTGGTGGAAACTGTTTATCGATATGTTTTTTGTCTCACATCACATTGTAACTTTGGTTCTCAGTCAGGGAAGATTCTGCCCCCCAGGGGCCATTTGGCAATGTCTGGACACATTTTTGGTTGTCACCAATGAGGGGAGGGGCCTACTGGCCTCTAGCGAGTAGAGGCCAGGGAGGCTGCTAAACATCCTGCAATGCACAGGACAGCCCCCCACACCAAAGAATTATCCCGCCCAAAATGTCAACACTGCTGCGGTTGAGAAATCCCCGATCCAGGGCAGGAGCACCCTAGGCAGAGGGCACAGCAAGGGAAGAAGCCCTGAGACAGGAGCATGCTTCCTGTGTCAAAGCCAGGGTGGGTAAACTTGTATCGTCTGCTGTAGTGCTACCACAGCAGAGCTGAGTAGTTGTGGTAGAGACCAGGTAGCCTACAGAGCCTAAAATATCTACTGTCTGGCCCTTTAAGGAAACATTGGCCAACCCCTATGTTAAAGGAACAGCAAAGAGGCTTATGTGGCTGTAACTGAATGAGCAACAGAGAGAGTGGCAGGAGATGAAATCAGAGGGGAAGCGGGGAAGCAGATAACACAGTCCAACAGAACTTTCTGTGATACTGACGTGCTATTCTGCACTATCCAATATGGTAGCCACCAGCCACACATGGCTACTGAGCATCTGAAATGTGGCCAGGGCGACTGTGGAATGGAATTTTACATTTTACTTAGTTTTATTTAGAATTAAAATTTAAATAGCACATGTGGCTGGTGCCTACTATATTGGACAGCACAGACATAGAGCTTTCTAGGCCAGGCTATCAATTTTGAACTTTCTCTTGAGTGAGATGGGAAGTCTTTGGCAGGTTTTGAGCAGAGATGTAACACAACCTCACTGAAGTTTTGAGAAGGTCACTCTGGCTGCTGTGTGGATAATACACTGTAGTGGACAAGAGTGGAAGCAGAGGGACGAGGAGGAGGCTACTGCAATAGTCCAAGCCAAAGATGACAGTGGTGTGGATGTGGATGATAGCAGTGGTGTTGGTGAGAAGTAGTTAAATTCTGGATATATTTCGAGGTAGAGCTAACAGGATTTGCTGAAAGACTGAATAAGTGTGTGGGAGAGAAAAGTCAAGGATGCTTCAAGAGTTTTTGACTTGAGTAAGTAGAAGAACAGAGTCCCGTATTACTAAAGTGCAGAAGAAAGGGGAAGAGTAGATTTGTTAGGGAGGATCAAAGACTCCTTTTTGGACTTGTTAAGTGCAAACTGCCTGGTGAACATCCAAGTGGACACGATGAGAAGGGGTTGGTTACAGGTGTCTGGAGTTTCAGGGAGAAGCTGAAGGTGAAGGTAGAACTTTCCGCAGTGATGGAAATGTTCTGTTATCTGCATTGCTCGATACATTAGCCACTAACCACAAAGTGGCTACTGAACATTTGAAATGTGACAAGTGCAACTGAGGTACTGAATTTTAAAATGTATTTAATTGTAATTAATTTAAATGTCAATGGCCACATGGGGCCAGTGGCTCCATAGGAGACAGCACAGGTGTGAATGGTATATACAGCATGGTAATGGAGGTCCTGGGGAATAGAAATAAACGGAAAATAAGAGGCCCAAGCCTGAGCCCTGGGGTGCTCCAACACTTAGAGAAGGTGAGAAGATCCACCAAAGGAGGCTGAGGATGGTTCATGAGGTAGGCGAGAATAAGAGGCAGTGATGAGCCAAATACACAGAAATGTTTCAGGAAGGAAGAGGCAACCACTTTTGTCAAATGCTGCTGACAAGCTAAGATGATAACTGCGACCTGACCTCTGAATTTGGCAACTTGGAAGGAAAATTTTCTAACTCAAGGGGCCTGCTTCCTCGCCAACCACCTGGATGGTTATCTGCGATGGCTTCTCTCTTCCCACACAGGCCTCACTCACCTGGGCACAGGCCTCCTCTCGCTGCTTTCTCCACCATCCAGGGCTCTTTGCCTTGCTCCAGGAAGGAGATCACATCAGGTTTGGAAATGGCAAGACCTGGATGTGAGAAAAAACATGCCACCTGGTTATGTGTGGGGCCCCAGAAGTCCGATCCAGGGCCTGGTCATCGAGCAGGAGGGGCAGTTGCAAGAAGAGCCAGGAAAAGAGGTGCCAGTCACCTCAGGGTCGGGGAAGATGTAGCTTTGGCCCATGGAGCTGCCCTTTCACTACTCAAAAGGCACCCCTAACTTGGCAAGGAAGGAACAGATGTGCCCGAGGGTAATGTCCAAACTAATGGGCCAGGTCACCTTACCCAGTGAGACCAGGTTGCTATAGGTCTCCAACATCACGTCTCTGTACAAATCCCTCTGAGCAGGCGCCAGCCAGTCCCATTCTTCTTGGGAGAAGACTACAGCCACATCCCTGAACAAGTCTGACCCCTGGAACAACAGGCAGGTACGTTATATGCCTATTTCAAGAAAATGTTTCTCGGTGGGACGAGAAGAGATGGAGGGGGTCTTTGCAGGAAGGGGGTGTTCTGGTGAAAAGGCTGAAGGCTGGGGCTGGAGGCCTCCAATGTGAGCAGGTGACAGGAGAAAATGGGCTTGAGTAAAACAGAATATTCAAATGTCCTTAAACTTTCCTTTTTACTCCAAACCAAAGCTCTTGTACCCAAGTCTTGGATGAAAATTAAAATCCAGCTAAATGGAGTTTTCCCGATTGTGACAAACAGTGTAATAAAGCACATTGCCTACTCTGTCCTTGGCATATCATCAATTCTCAATGTGAGACCTATAATTTCTGCTTTTATGGAATAACCAAAAAAAAAAAAAAAAAAGCCAGGCCAACAATTTTTGATAGACTTACCCCAAAATATTTTATTAAAGAAATATTTCTATCTTAGAAAATAGGATTTTCATGTAAGTTGAGAACTGCTTGAAAACATAGATTCATCATTATCTCAGTACATATCACAAGCATTTTTCCTTATGAGAAAAATCTTGAATTTAGATTACTTTTGTCAGCTGTACAATTTTCTATCTAGTGAAAAACATGACTCAACTAGTCTCTTATTTTGGATGCAGAGGCTGGATCAGATCTCTGCTGGCTCTTCCGAGCTCTGACTCTCCAGATTCTGAACAATTTATCCATCTTGCTGACCGTCTCAAAATCCGAAGCTCTGCACTTCTCTCGCTCTTAAGCTGAAGAGCCTGATGAGAATGACCCAGATTCTGGGGCCGGCCCCATGGCTTAGCAGTTAAGAGCGTGCGCTCCGCTACTGGCGGC